CTTGTGTTGCCAGCATACACTTAAAATTTGGTCCGGACAAGCATTAGTAATGAGCTACTGCACAGTGTCACAGAAAAGCTGTTCAGTGATGCTACTGCGCACTAACACCAGTAACAACTGCAGAATCAACATCTTGTGTAGCTGTGGCCCTAAATGCTTGAGCTACACTGCTTTCTCTGAATCACCATAACAAATACACACAAAAAGTTTTTCCACTGACTTAAATGGAGGCAAGATTTCACCCCTATCACTATAGGTTTTACTAATATGGAATTGGGTCACATTTTAAAGGGTCAAACACTAAAACAGAAGCTTTGACAACAAGACAATACTTTCAAAGATACTTACATTCATTTTAATCACTTAATTAAAGGCACCTATTTTTATGTGCATACATTGTGAATACAATTCTTAAGAATGGTGGACTTTATGAGCAATATTATGAATATAGTATATTGATGTTTGTACTTGGTCTGTGTGCATAATAATAATCAGCAAGTAATAGCATCTGATTCCCTTGTAACACCAATAATACATGCCAAATGTAAACAATAATTGCACTATGCTTTATTCTTGGAACAACTCTCCTCTTCCTTTTCTTTTTTTTAATAGCTGTATATTGTGGAGATCCTGGTACACCAGCAGAAGGACGTCTTAATGGAAAAAGTTTCACCTATGGCTCTGAAGTCACTTTTCAGTGCAACCCCCTCTTTATCCTGATAGGTTCTTCAAGAAGAGTCTGTGAAGCAGATGGTACTTGGAGTGGAATTCAGCCAACATGCATTGGTAACAATTACTGTTACACGCCATTTTTAGTTATGTGGTTTTTAGTCAAAATAGTCTAGATTAAGCACCAAGAGCAATCAATTGGCAGGCCTCTTTAACAGACCTAGCTCCAAAGGCATGCTGCTGCTGCTTTCCTCCCAGTGTATTTGCATCCCACACTGTGAACCTACCACAGAAATGCTGCAAGCATGGCTAACCACCGAACTGCCACAAATGTATGGACTTTGCAAGTCAGATCCAATTGCTTGGTGGTAATCCATCTGGCAACCATAACTTGTCAACCCATTCTAGATAATACTGTGCCAACCCTGCAGCCCTAGAAGCTGATGCAAAAAACAAGGAGTTACTACTTTTATATAGACAATCACAGAGGTTAGGGTCACACGCCAACAGATAAAGAAAAATCAACACGGTGACAACATATACTTAGCACCTTAATTCTGTCCCCCTCCTGCAACCTCTGGAGGTGTCCCACAAATAAGCCTAGAGCACTCAAACAGCAGCTAGGAGCCACCCTTAAGTCTGAATCCAGCTCCTTCAG